TGAGTCAGTTATTTTTGACAAAAAATTCAATTTTATGTTTTTAGTTTATTTTCAATTCCGCATGGGTGCGTTGTAAAGACACTGTAATGTATGAAAAAAACAGATCCAACCACAAAATTACATAAATAGCGAATTTTCTACTTTGTTATGCAAAATTGTCAGTTTGCAGGTAGGAGGTATTGTTCCTTAACTATCGACGCATATAGTTGTATAATCTTACGGAAAACAGCGCACCTGCAAGATTGGCTTCTGGTCATTGACTCACAGGGCCATAGATCGTGCTTTCGAGTGAGAGCAAAATGATACGTACGTATAAAACCTCATCGTTGGTTGTAGTATCGAAGTAAAAGCACGTTCAGTTGGCTGTTCGGAAGTCCTTCATTCGAGTCGTTTGGGCTTTGGCGGGAACTGAGAATGAATACACAAAAACCGTGCTATGACTCGCTGTGCCGTGCCGTGTGCGGGAGAACGATACAGGAGCGTGGTGTCTACGAACGGCACGTATTTGACCCATAATCACAGTTGTCTAATTCTCGATCCAGTGAGAGTGTCCAAACAAGATGTATGTACCTCTCTTCGTCAGCACATGGTGTCTCTATCTCAGGGTTAACCCTAGTTTTACCAACCGAAACAAAAAAGACACGGCACGGCGACTCGTAAAAATGTTTGTAATTTTATTATATCGGCACCCACATAGTGCTGTGCTTCATTTATGGGCTCACAAAATCCTCTAGAATTGAGTTCTACCATGGTTTTGAAAAAAAAATTGCTGAATTTTTCGTTCTTAGGTCAGTGAAAGTAGAAGCTGTAGCCCACATTTCAGAAAGGACAGGCTGCAATTGAGTTAAACAATCAGAGCATTTTTTAGATACAAATCAGTGAAAGTTTACCGTATCGGTACAATGGGTGACGATCAAATTAAGTTATGACGTAAGAGGAAACAAGTATAGCACCCTCATGCAGTTCACGCACCTCACAGTACTACGCACAACCGCGCCTTGCGCCGCGGGTGTCGCGAGTAGTGCCTGGAGCGTCAAAACGCCTTCACTTCCGTGCGTACGCAATGCGTTCATCCATGGAGCCCGAATAGTTGCTTACAAGCATTAAAATGAAATATGTGTAACCTCGTCGCATGCGATAGTAACTAAGGGCCTCGTCTGTTTTTCTCCTCCACTTAGTCAGGCCCGCCACAAGGGGGGGGGGGTACTGGGTCCCTACCGGGGCCCGGGCCCAAGAGGGGGCCAGTGTTACCCGTGAAAAACCACTACGAATTCAGCTGCAATCCTTGTTTCGTAAAAAAAGTGAAAATTTTACCCTAAAAATCTCGCAAAAGGTGATTAGATTTTCAGAAACACACTGGGGCACTCTAGAATTCTTCTTAAATTTTCAAAGAAGTATACTTCTTAGAAAATGTCTATCTATTTTCAAGATTTTCAGTACAGAGGGAAATTTTTAGTAACTGCGTTTCATTTTCTTCCGTCGTCAGATGCTAAGAGTCTCCGGTCTGGGCATCCTCAACTTCAATGGCTCATGGCTCAACTCCCTTGCCATAGACAAACGAAGGGGGAGTCCAGGAGGGCCTGGCCCTCTTAGAACTGAAATTAGTATCATATGCCCCCCCCCAAAAAAAAAAAAAAAAAAAAAAAAAAAAAAAAAATACAAATACAAATTTTCCAGATGTTTTGAATGCGCCAATTCGCAAGTATTTTGTGCTGAAAGTAGAAAAAAAAACATGATTATTCCGCATAAATTGATGGAAAAATTCTTTATGGAAGCTTCAAAATGCGTCCGATTAGTCGTTTAAATTTTAAAATTTCTCGGGGGATGCCCCTCGGGCTCCCCCCATCCGTGCTTGAGGCCCGGACCTTGAAACTGGTACCAGAGCCCGAGATGGAATGTGGCGAGCCTGCATGAAGGCTATTTCCATTTAAATCTTCCGTCACATTCATACGGCGCAATGATACAACTATTTGAACTCTCCGATAAAATCGCGAGGTATCACGCCGCATTTGAAGGCGTTTTCAAAACAGCTTAGTTCCGATACCCGGATCATCGTTTTGCATAGTTCATATTCTTTTGTTATATTCCATAACACTCGTCTATTTTTAATCCTCGTTGAAAAACCACCGATTTGTATACAATATAATACAATTCTAGCTGAAGCGCACTTCAGCCATGCATTCACCACTGCAAACATTTCAGAGGAAATCGACAAGCCCAGCGTGCATGGAGGCTATCTCCATTTAAATCTTCCGTCACATTCTTACGGCGCAATGATACAACTATTTGAACTCTCCGGAATGTGTGAGGTATCACGCAGCATTTGAAGGCGTTTTCAAAACAGCCAAGTTCCGTTATCGGAATAATCGTTTTGCAGAGTTCATATTATTTTGTTTCAATTCATAACGACTTGTTTAATTATAATCCTCCTATAAAAATTACCCATTTGCTATATACAATTCTAGCTGAAGCGCACTTTAAGCGCATTCATGACTACAAAATGTTAACGGAAATCGAAAAGGCCAGCGTGCATGAAGGCTATATCAATGGTAATCTTCCGTCACATTTCTAAGGCGCAATGATACAACTATTTGAACTCTCCGGAATGCGCGAGGTATCACGCCGCATTTGAAGGCGTTTTCAAAACAGCCAAGTTCCGATACCCGGCTTATCGTTTTGCATAATTCATATTCTTTTGTTATATTGCGTACCACTCGTCTATTTTTAATCCTCGTAGAAAAACTATCCATTTGCTAAATACAATTCTAGGTGTAGCGCACTTCAGCTCTGCATTCACCACTGCAAAAATGTCAAAGGAAATCGACAAGCCTAGCGTGCATGAAGGCAGCCCCGGCACAAGGCGGGGATACTGGGTCCTTGGAACCGGGGCCCGGGCTCCGGAGAAGGCCCGTGTTACCCATGAAAAACCATTACGAATTCACATGCAACCCTTGTTTCGTAAGAAAAAGTGAAAAATTTACCCTAAAAATCTCGCAAAAGGTGAACAGATTTTCAGAAACACGCTGGGGCACTCTAGAATTCTTCTTAAATTTTCAAAGAAGTATACTTCTTAGAAAATGTCTATCTATTTTCAAGATTTTCAGTACAGAGGGAAATTTTTAGTAACTGCGTTTCATTTTTTTCCGTCGTCAGATGCTAAGAGTCCCCAAGTCTGGGCATCCTCGACTTCAATGGCTCATGGCTCAACTCCCTTGCCATAGACAAACGAAGGGGGAGTCCAGGAGGGCCTGGCCCTCTTAGAACTGAAATTAGTATCATATGCCCCCCCCAAAAAAAAAAAAAAAAAAAAAAAAAAAAAAATACAAATACAAATTTTCCAGATGTTTTGAATGCGCCAATTCGCAAGTATTTTGTGCTGAAAGTAGAAAAAAAAAACATAATTATTCCGCAGAAACTGATGGAAAAATTCTTTATGGAAGCTTCAAAAAGCGTCCGATTAGTCGTATAAATTCTAAAATTTCTCGGGAGGTGCCCCTCGGACCCCCGCCCCCCTCCGTGCTTGGGGCCCGGACCTTAAAACTGGTACCAGGGCCCGAGATGGGATGTGGCGGGCCTGCACTTAGTTTGAGCGTTGCCTATCGTGCAGAAGAATAAACTTTTGCTGATTTTCATTGTGACAAACGAGGTACGTTACATTCGTCCATCGTTCGTGTCGCTGTACATCCAAAGTTGAAGGTTTTTTAGAATATCAAACAATATACGCAAAAATTAAAACAATTATTGCTTTGAATTATTTTCATTTGAATTAATAAGTGTGATAAGAATGTGTAAATGTAAATATAAATAAAAAGATGTCTCCAAAAAATGTTGTCAGAATTTTAATCATTCAACTTGATAGTCTGCAATTAAAAAAGTATTACACGTATATTACTAATTGTTTTTCATATATTTCGGAAATGTCAAGAGGAATTTCATGTGAGATGTTACGACCTCATTTGTAGAACATATGCTTTTTTTGTAATGCTGCCACTCCTAATACACTGAGAGGCTAACGTGACTCGCATGATAAAAAGTCATTATAAAACAAATTATCTGGCAAATTAGACGTACGGATCAATTAGCACGACCAGATTCACCAACTGCAAGTAACAGGGACCGCGGCCTCGCACAATGAAAAAGGGTTTTTCTTGCCCTATTTCATGGAAGCCAAGTAATTTACTGGCATGTGGTAGTGATGAAGTATAACCTCTCTTGAAATTTTCCGCTTGAGCTGGAAGCTGCTTTGGTGATTGTTAAATTATAGTTGCGTGTCGAATACATGCTGAACTTGTGAACTTTGCATCACTGTATCATCAAAGTAACTAGTTTTACATTCGAGCTAAAAATCCTGCTGATTCGACATTTTTTTAAGTCATAATTTGATGAAGTTTCAAGGTATTCCTGATAGAAGTACCTGACCGCTTTTGAAGACGCTCCATCGGGAGTCATGGGTTTGAAAAGAAATCAGGGTTGGTAAAATACGACTAAATTGATAATATAATTTAGAAAACTACGTATGTTATCATTTAAATATTTCTAAGTACTTAGTTATCACGTCTTTATTTCTTGAGACGACCCTCAGATTATGGGAAAAGCAATCGCTACATAGATCGATAGAATTTCTACGAAAGCCACCTGATTCGATCCATCAAGTCGATTTATCAAGTAATCATTGACGGAAAAAAGGCTGCTCAGTGCTCATTTCATACCCTCATTCAATATTTTATTTCAATAAGTTCGTATTAAGGCTTATTTTTTAAGGCCAGAAAATTGCTATGAAAATATTTGTCCTTGCAAAATAATAATTTCCGTCAAAGATTCCGTACTGACACTATTAGAATGGGAGAAGAAATTCTACGGTCTTCGGTCAACAGATTGGATATCAGTTGCGGTTATAATATTAATATAATTTTTGAAGAAGATTTTCCAGAAGTGGTAGATGCAATCTATAATGGACTCTCAAAATAATAAACGGGGTTCGAAGAAAAAACATTTCACGATCAGTGATGCAATATTTGTAATTGGAAAAAAATCGATTCATTACACGTTCACTCTGTATACCTAAATGATCTTAAAATACTTTTAACTAAGTTTACGAAAGTTCTACACCGAAAATTTTTTGTAATAAATGCCACAATTATTTTTTTTTTTTTCGGTGTCATATTTTACACATTTTTGAGAGGATTGACAGAAACCTCTCATGCGAAGAACATTTTTTAACAACGTTCAAATGGAATTAATTTAAGAAAAAAAAAATCGTTATTCCGATTAACTCGACACTCAAATCCTCCGGTGAGGTTTCAGCTGAACTAATCAAATGAACGGTAGCCCAGTAATTATTGCACGAATCCGAAAGTCTTGAGGGTTAAAAGTAAACATCGAGTTTCTTTGAAAGACTTCTAAGCGGCCTAAGCTTCCTCTTGAGTTCGAGCAGGATTTCCGTTTCTAACTGTTGGAGCACCTCAATTTGCCGTGTGTAGAAACCTCTACTGTCTTCAGGACCTAGAGAAAGAGACAACTTTAAAACAACGCATTCAGTGCCACGGAACGCGTTAAAAGAAGATGCTTCAACCAAGGGTAAACTTTGAAGCAGAGAGCATCTGCATCAGTTACTCAATTGGAGGTAGGCAAACGGTTTAAAGTTCATCTTCTTATGGGGCAACTCGTGTCAGTGTGGATCAATTTAGAACATTTTTCGTGACTTTTTTAAAATCTCCCTCCTCACGCGGATTTGTTAACAATCGGAGACTAGACAGAGTCTGAACTTAAAGAAATTGTCACGGTTACACGTATATATTCTTCAAGAAGATCTTACGTAAAGAACGAATCACACAACTGGAAGCTCGGCCACCAACTCCTAAAAAAGATATTAAAAAGTACTTTTAACATAGATTAAAGGGAAGGTACGCCGAACGAATGACGTCATATTTATTTTTGCCATTTGAGAGCAATGTTAATATTAAGCAAATCTTGTTTAAGAGTTGATTTCTAGACGGGGCCGGATTTACATTTTTAGCGCCCCTAGGCTAAACTTAGGGTGGCGCCCTTAAAAGTAGGCGCTCTTGGGGGGGGGGGGGGGGGGGTCCCAGACGCCCCTCCCCTCTAGAAAGGAGGGAGGGTGTTAGGGTGTCAGGAAAATGTTCAAATTCACCTTTAAAAAACACGATTTTTAACTGTTTTGAGGTTTGCAAGTTTGCAAGTTGGTTTTGGAAAATAAAAAGTAACGAAAGACTAGTTAAATTTAGAAAGAAAAAAAAATTCTCAAAAATGTTGCGCCCCTCAGAATGTTGCGCCCTAGGCTACAGCTTATGTAGCCTATTTGTAAATCCGGCCCTGTTTCTAGACTTCCCTTTGTGTGTTCGTTTTCCTCGCGAGATTCTGATGAGGAAACATGTTGCATAGTGGTTTAATTCACACCTTGTGTAGTAGCCCATTGTCCCCCCTCCCCCCTCTAAAAGAAGCAAATAGGGTCGTATTTCGAACAGCGCTTTGAAGTACGTGCATCACGGTCAGATCGCCCTCAAATTTTGGTAAATGCAACATGCACGGACATCCCCTAACGAATAGTTGCATTCGAGCATTCCAATCAGGAAACCTAATTGCCCAACCCTTCGATCATCTCTCATCATTGAAAAAACGACTACACGTCACGTCGGCGAGACGTCATTCGAAAAATACGTGTTTTGAAGTTCCGAAACCACGTGGATCCTTTTGGCGGAAAGAAAGTTCAAACTGACTTTTTGATGCTTAAAAATTGGAGTTTGGGAGCGAATTTTTCGCAGAATATGCATTAAGACTAGTTTTACTTCGGGGCCGTCCATGAATTACCTCACCAAGCAGAGGTAGGGGGGTTCTAGTGGTGGATGAGGTTGTGTGAAAGGGAAGAATAACGGTCAAGCCAATAATGACGTAAGCTTTCCTGAAAACAAAAATTGGTTTTCTGTATATTTTATTCACTCAATTTTTACACTTTTTCAATTAATCCTTCCAATTTAGCTATAAAGTTTGGGTTGGTTAATTTTTCAGGTAGTAGTATATTTAATTATTTTCTTTTTTAAGAGAACACAACACTTATTCAATACTCAACAAAAGGATTCAGTCATTTTCTTAACGCTGCAGACTATTCCTACTGATTTTATCGATTTTCTTCGTTTCCCTCCTAAAAGAGGGGGGAGGAGGCTAAGGATGACGTAATTTTTATGGGGAGTCTAGCAGTGGATGGCGATTGGATACGGTGCGAGATTCGGGTGGGGTCAAAAGAATGAAAAAATAGGTGACCTAATTTATGAACGGCCCCCCTCTTGAGATCATTAAAATGTCAAATTTTTTTTAAAAAAAGTGCATCTATGCCCTTCTCTTCCAAGCCCCTAAAATTGTCTCTGGAATGGACTCATACCTGTATTTTTGATAACCTGAACAGAATAATGGTTCTTTCGGGCGGACTCCAGTAAGAAGTTAGTGTAAGGGACCAGCTGCTCCTTTCCGAATGGACCTTTTTCGACTACGAGGTTTTTGGCGATCTTGTGTATCTCATTCGCGATCTCCGCCGCCCCCGCGTTCCGGTCCTTGAAATACTTGACGAGTTCATCGCTTCTCTCGATCATCTCCTTGACCGCTTCCGGGACCGGGCGAAAGCGCTTGTAAAGCCTCTCCAACTCGACCAGGAACCCTACCTCCTCGGCAGCTAGACGACCTTCAATAGTGATAGGTTTACGAGGAAGATCCAGGATTGGTGTAGGATCTAGGGTCGGACGTGAAGATGCGGGTGGAGGTGGAATAGGCGCTGGGGGCGCTTTGAAACTCCGCTGTCTGGACCGCACGGAGGACGCTTTTGACTTGGGGGCGCCCACTGAGAGGACCTGACCAAAACAAGCACTTTTAGAAAATGCACGTTCGAATTGCGCACCAGTTTAGCATCAACATGGCGGAAAGAGGCCTAATATATTTAGAAAATATTAATCTGCGATACCTACCTCTATCTAATGCTTCTGATGTCAAAGCATGACAGACGATAATCGTTTTTCTATAATTTATTTTTTCAGCGGTAGTTCAGCTTTCTCAAAATTGATAATTGAAATTTCGGCGAGTGAGCTCTGTCATCTCAATGGTTCTTATCTTCTGAAGGGAGATTGAAAACGCACCTAAATAGAAAACAGCGGAGCGTTTCTCTAATCTACACTCCAATACGAATTTATTAGAGCTTCTTCGCTTGTTTTTTTTAGCATTTTACCATGTGATGCCATTACAATTGTTTTGCCGAAATTTTTGGCCTTGCCAGCTTTCGTTTTAACAAATCCCGTTAGTTTTCTTCATGTCAATTTGAATTTTTATATTCGTTTTGACAACCAAGGCTGAGTCTCGTTTCTTCTGTCGAAAACCGTTGGCATTTTGCTTTTGCAATTCAATGGAGTGCATTTTTTGTTCGTTAAAGACAGCACCGTTGCGCGTTTTTCTGTCCGCGTAAAAAAAATATCATTATCGCGTCTTTCAGAAAGATCCTCAATTATAACGTTTTAAAGAATAATCCCTGGTCAGATTATGTGTTTGAATATGAAAGAGCTTGATGCAAAAACGGCTTTTCTCGACGCCCCCCCCCCCCCGGAATGTCTTCAAACTGTCTATTAATTACTTATACTATTACTACTACTTACTACTACTTTACTTATACTATTTATTACTTATTACTTGGCGCTTCTTTTCTCAAATTTTCAGACCCCCAAACAAATTTTTTTTTGGCGGGGTGCGCTATGGGGATGGAAACCTGTGAACCTCGATATCTCTCGAACGAAGGAAGATATCGAGGTCCGGTCTGGACGAAAAATCGTCGGAAATTGCACACTTTAAGATTCTGACGATCAAAATCCCAAAACTACATTTTCAAGTTAACATTTGTGGTTTTTTTTTTCGGTTTTTGAGTCCAGAAAATTACTTTTAAGCAAAGGATATACACAGATCTCAATTTTTCATTTGAGCCAAGACCAGTTTTTAAAATTGTTCGTCTTTTTCCGAATTTAACGAGTAGTCTATTAAGCTGGGGAACCAAACAGTTCCGGAGTTATGAGCGATTGAAGTTTCCACCCAACGCATCCCGACCATTAAATCAGATGTTCAAACCATCCTGAATAAGTTTATAGAGATTCTTGAGAGTCGCTAAGTTCAGAAATTACAAATATTTCCAAAAAAATTCACTTTTTCAGAATTACCGCTCCGTAGCGCTACTTTAGGGACCCACTGAGCGTTGACCGGCCGCTCAGTGAGCCTGTGCGGAGCTGTAATTTTAAAAAAGTGAATTTTTATTATTACTAATATCATTACTAAAAATACGATTTTGAAATTTATACATGTATATATATTTAAAAAAATAAAAAAAAAATTATTGTGTATGATAAAATAAGTGTCCAAACATGGTAATGCAACACCGCGACCCACATAGTGTTTCGATTGTAACTTGTTTTTCTTTCAAGAGTATCTACACTTTTGGGATCCCCTTTAATATTTCATGACATTTGAAACACCTGTGTTGAGGAACACCATGAAATGTTCATTTCAGAGGCTGAAAAGACAACATACACTTAAAAACACTTTGAACGTATAAAGCGTAAGAAATAAATTGAAACAATATTTCTGGGTTATTTTAGCACATAGATTTAGCATTTTTAGTATTAAATCGTTTGGTGATATTTTACTATTCATTGGCAATTTGGCAGATATTTCCTTCACATTTCATGAATTTCGGAAGAAGAAAAATAGTTCGCGTGATATTGCACAATTTTAGCCTCGGTAACATTTTCAATATTTTCTTCAATCTTTCAAGGTCACGCAATGAGTGTAATCCAGATTGTTTAACGGGCTAATTAATTGAGAGTTCTGTACGTCATTTCGGGTTTCTTACTAATTTCAAGACCTTGAAAAAAATACTGATAGCGTGGCTGAGGCTCTTAAACTTAATGAAATTTGACCATCCTGTACTCCAATAATTTAGAAATAAGGTTACCTGGAATAAGAGCACACAGTGGGTTTTAACTAAATCTAATTAAGAAAATGAAAGTCCCCATGTCTGAAAGCGGAAAAGTATAGCGAAACACCTCAGGAAAACATCCCCGCTGAAAAGAAAATCATTCGTTGGGCCGTTTTTTTTTTTTGCCCACCCAAAGCCAAAATGGCGGCCGATATGCGCCGCCGCGGGGTGCAAATGTTACAACTCCCTCAAAATGTCAAGTGACACATCGATTCCTGTGTAATTTTGGTCGTAGAATCCGAATATGAGGTCAGAAATTCCTCACGACTAAAAGGGATCGCGCAAATTCAAGATGGCGGCCAAAAATAGGCCCCGGAGTAAAAATTCTCAATTCCAGCTTTTGGTGACGAGTGAGATGTCTTTTTTTATGTTTTTTGGGTCATAGAATCCAAATTTGAGGTCGAAAATTTCCTTCTGGCCGACAGGGATCCCTCAAATCCAAAATGGCCTCCATTTTGGGGATGACATATTATTTCCGAAAGACTCGTATAATCGAGTGAGGTGTCTTTTTACATGTTTTTTGGACCACATGATCAGAAACTGGGATCCAAACTGTGTCCCTGTGGGCCGGAAGGTAAGATTTGTCCCTTAGCACCTTGATTGTATCGTTTTTATCAACTATTTAAATAAAAACTCAGAATTTCACTGTTAGAATGGCGCCAACTCCACCAAGAATGCTCTATTCTTACAAATAATGTTTGACCTTTTTGCCTAGCAGGGGATATAGTCCCCTGCTTCACAAAAAAACTAGGGCAAGAGAAATAGGAACATAACAAAAATTATCTTCTTTAAACAGAGAAACAGTGAAAACAGTGAAATTCTGAGTTTTTATTAAAATAGTTGATAAAAACGATACAATCAAGGTGCTAAGGGATAAATCTTACCTTCCGGCCCACAGGGACACAGTTTGGATCCCAGTTTCTGATCATGTGGTCCAAAAAACATGTAAAAAGACACCTCACTCGATTATACGAGTCTTTCGGAAATAATATGTCATCCCCAAAATGGAGGCCATTTTGGATTTGAGGGATCCCTGTCGGCCAGAAGGGAATTTTCGACCTCAAATTTGGATCCTATGACCCAAAAAACATAAAAAAAGACATCTCACTCGTTACCAAAAGCTGGAATTGAGAATTTTTACTCCGGGGCCTATTTTTGGCCGCCATCTTGAATTTGCGGGATCCCTTTTAGTCGTGAGGGATTTTTGACCTCATATTCGGATTCTACGACCAAAATTACATAGGAATCGATGTGTCACTTGACATTTTGAGGGAGTTGTAACATTTGCACCCCGCGGCGGCGCATATCGGCCGCCATTTTGGCTTTGGGTGGGCAAAAAAAAAAACGGCCCAACGAATGATTTTCTTTTCAGCGGGGATGTTTTCCTGAGGTGTTTCGCTATACTTTTCCGCTTTCAGACATGGGGACTTTCATTTTCTTAATTAAATTTAGTTAAAACCCACTGTGAGCACAGAGAGAATCACACACATTCGCCAGCACATGGCTGTAAAATGAGGAACTGTACATCTGCAGTGCAACTGTAGTTTTTACAGTGCCAGAGCTCTTAATATACTTAACGAATAAAAAAAGTTTGGAACGGATCGTGCCTATTTAATGCATGACGTTTGAATCAGCGGCGAGGTGTAAATGATCGATTATCGATATTTCTTCATTTGAAGCTATAGTAAAGAATCGTTGAACAAGGTGTTCACCTTGTTTATCGATCCCTTTCAATAGATGACATGGCAGATCAACCGATAAATCGCAAAGCTTGCCGCGTCACCGGTTCGCATCGATCATAATGGCTAGATTCACGTGAAGTAGGGTGGCCCTTATTTTTGACTTTTTCGAAATTTAATGGATGCACATGTGCGAGTGGTGCCCTTGGGTACAAAATTAACAGGAAAAAATGAATTTTTGAAAAAAGAAAAAGAAAAAAAATTAGTACTGTCGCCGGCTTTTCGGAAATTACGCCATGCATGCCGAGATGGAAAATTCCATGAAATTAATTCGTGTAAAATTTCATGAAATTTCATGAAATTTTTCGAAACTTTTGGGGATGCATCCAGGATGCCAAGAAACGTCTAGAAACAGTGATTCATTCGCGCGTTGCAAATGTTTTCGTTTAGTTTAGAGGTTAGGTTGGGGTTTTTCTCTCTAAACTCCCCTTTTTACCCCCCCCCCCTTTGTGTGTTAGCACCTTCAGTAGAGTAGCATACTACCGCAGCATCAATAGAAAGACCATATGAAACGCTTTCAGACCTCCAAAGGTTTAATTAATAATTCTAAAAAAAAAAAAGATAATGAATTTCAACTTTTGTGAAATTTATTCCAGCCTTATGAAATTTCACTTTTCATCTTTGCATGCATAGGAGGAAAACCGACCCGTTTGCCGTTTGTGGACCTCTTCACGCCCAAGTTTACGCATGCAGTATGTCACATACACTTTTCAAATTAATCATTTAGGACGCACGTCTTTTATGTGTGTTTACCGACTTTCTTTGAAGTTTTCGTTTCTAGCTATTGAAATTGTGTATATTGGTAGTCCAAAGTTAGCCAAAAGCCATGATTTTTTGATGAATATCCACATTTTTGCACGATTCGGCATCCAGAGGTAAGTACGTAACCAAGAATTTTAAAATTCCACTGCATAGTACACTACATTTTGCACTTTCTATAGTTATGGTAGTACTATAGCCATTCTGGGCGCGCCTCACGCTTCTGTCACGGCTAGCCAAGGGGCTGCGCCCCCTGGACTCTCGGTCACTCGCTACACGAGTGACATTTGACTCGCTCCGCGAGCCATTTTGCAGCAGTGTACGTCGATCTCTCCGCGAACGGCAAGAGCATCAGGCAACACCCCTGCTCCAATATCCCTATCCCGACTAAAAACGACTTACCTACATAGAATCCCCAGCGGAGATAGGATGTTTTTGCCGAGCAAGGCAGAGTTCCGGTGCACCCGAACCAAAGCCGACTCGAGCGATCCAGTTCTGAAGCTGCGCGGTGGCGGCCCCCTCCCTAAACACCGCGCGGACCCGCCCTCCTACCACCGAATCGTCTTCGTCGCGAAGAATGCCAGACAGAACATTGCGCGGCCGCCATCCGAATCGCTCGCAACTCGCGCAAAGATGTCGACGCCGCTTTTATTCGCGCTAGCCGCGTCCGCGTGTTTCCTCGCCATCGCGTGTGATACAGTGTTCCCCGACGTCACGCACCCGGGTCACCGCGTTACGGACACGGAGGAGCGCCCCGTGCAGGAGGAAAGCCACGCGGATAGCGACAGAAACGACTTCACGCACGTGGTTGAAGATGTCACGCACGTGGTTGAAGATGTCACGCACGCGGATAACGACGCCTCACACGCGGATAGCGACGCAACCACTGAAAACGACTACCAGGACCTCTTCAAAGTCCTGAACATGGGGATCGCCAACACGCTGCGAGGTATGAGACGCGCTCCGTTCTACAACCTAGCTCCGAACATGTTCCTGGTCAGAAACAACCTAAGTAACAAAGGGATGAATGAGGGCATCGAGGGCGAGCCAGTGACGCGAGTTGTGTCGTTAGTGCAGTTGGCCAAGTCGGCCGACGCCTTGTTCGAGTCGCATAGTTTGTACTGTTTGCTCTCGGATAAGACGGGGTTGCAGATTGCTCGGGCTCCGGGAAACGGAGAGCTAGGCGTCCGCATCAAGAAGATCGACGACCGATTCGAGAATGAGATCCAAGGTAAGTGTCTTCCATCTGCATAATCTTTGATAATAGTTGTCACTTTAAGTGGCCACATAGTGAGACCAAGTTGCGGCAATGTGGTATGTAGAACATGGAGGGTCGTGTTCGTTGTCGTCTCTTAAGAGGAGTCCCCTGCCCCATGCTAAAGCATGTGAATCTGCGTCATTTATTCACGTACCTTTTTCTCAGAGACGATTAAAAAAATATTTGAACGATTTTTGTTTTTTTGGTTTTTGTTTATTATTTTTGGTAGGTATTAGACTTCTAAATAAATAAATAGACAAACCAGTTTTTGAAATTTTGAAATTTCAAAAGTTGACTATTTTTCTATTTTTTTTTAAAGGAAATGTGAATTTTTCCAACTTTGGCAACCTCTTAAAATTTCAACTGTGCAAAATTGAAAAAAAAAAACGCTTTCGTCCGTTGTGTTACAGAGAATCGAGAATCTAACAAAAACAAATTGAAAATATTCTGATTAGATCCAGAGATAAAAGTACATAAGTGTTAAAAAGTTAAACTTTTCAGGGGCTCAATTTGAAAATTCAAAACCAGGGGTTGTTCCGCAATGGTGCAATCGACTATACGCTTGCCTACTAAAATATTAGCTGACAGCGTTCTGATCGTCGAATTAAAAGAACTTATAGTGTCCAATGAAACGTGAATGTATAGGTACTTAATCTAAAGATAGTAAAAACTAAAAATTGAACTGAAAATTTTTATTAAAACTTTTTAAAAAACTGACAATTTTTATCAGGGGACTACCTTTTAATCACCTCCTCTACCGTGCTAATTAAGAAAGAACCCCGTATGAGCCTTCAAATGTTGCCATGTTTACTTCCATAAAAGAATAATATTTACTGGGAAAATTGTGAATATTTTGCTTCAAACATTTCAGACGATTTTAGTGAATTAAATCTGAAATATCTAAAGATTTCAAAGGAAAAAATGCGTAACTTTCCTCAAAAATAAATATCTTGTCGGGGGGAGGTTTGACAACGTTTGAACACCCATTGGGCGTTATCTCGTAGCACAGCAGTTATTTCCCTAGGAGGTAGTATATAGTCTTGTTTCATGAGATTGCTTCCAAAACCGTCGCTCAAATCCAGAAAAAAACTATGATTTTTCCCCAAAAAATTTGGGCGGAGGTGAATCTTTGACTGGAGGTGTATGAAAGAAAATCCTTTTGGAAAAAACAAGTCCTGAACATAGATACCCATAGAACACTTTCCAGCAGTCTAGCGGTTTTACCTTGGGATACTCTGCATGATTCCAAATATTCATGTCTGGTTTTTGTTTTGTTTCTTTGTAAAAAGTAAAACATGAGAGAGGATGGAGCAATGTCTAGAGCGGTTGGGCTGAGGCATATAAAATCCGTCCATTCTAGGGGATATTGCGAAGGGCGGGCGGTCCGTTTCGTCGAATCATGGGGATTTTTGAGAAGTTATGACAGTTTGAAGTTTGCTGTTCAGTGAGCGTAATTTTGATACCTACTTCGTTTGAAATATAGACTCCTATGTCCGCGGCTCGGGAATGTTGGATTATTATGCAACTTTACCCCCTCTCATTGTGCATAAATCGTCGCTTCTCTGACATAAGGGTGTATCTCGATCTCCAGGTCCGCCCTGTTGTCTATAAAACTCTACGCCTTACTTCGGGACTCACGAGAAATGGAGGTACAGCTTTAAGTCAGAGAATAAGCAAAGAAATAAGCCAAACCCTTCGTAACCCAATGTTTGGGACACAAGAATGACATTTGAATCAGTGAGTTCGAAAACACACCAACTCGGAAAAAAATTGTTCAGGAAACACCTAAAACTGCGCAGCGGGCGGAGAAGTTAGTTTAAGAAAAACCTTTTTGGTGCCAAAGGACAAGTACTCAGAGACTTTGTAAAGCACCAAGTTGAAATCCACAGGTACACCATGTTTGATGACAGAGAATTAGGCGTTTAAAAATTTCCGAGTTGGTGGGTTTTCGTCCTCACCGACTTTCAGATACTGATCTTTCAAAGTCTGCCCAGAAAAATTTATATTTTTTGACCTGAATAACGCTTGAATATTTAAATAACTTGTTGGTACAATGTATATACTGAACCGAAAAAAGAAAACCGCAAGATCGGATGGTCACCCGTTTCCCTTGAAATGGCCAAAAATTGGTATTTCCAATGAAATACTTCGATTTTTCCCTGTTTCCGTCGCTGTTTCGATTACCTCCGATTACAATTTCGAAATTTCCTTTTGCGTGCAGATGCCTCTATCCATACCTTAGTGTTACTAAACCGTAAAAAAGTGAAAATCGAAAAAAACCCGAGTTGGTGTGTTTTCGAACTCACTAATTCATTTCTGTCCGAGACTCAAGCCATCTTTTGACCCGACTTGGCAGGAGTCTAATTCTTTAAAAAGCCACCGTTCATTGAGTCGCCTTTCCCGAAAATGGTCTAATTACAGGAGCCACACTTTTTGCAAGGCTTACTGCATACATTTTTATAAAAAAAAAATTCTGTTCAATTCCTTAGAACTTCCTCTGGCTTAATTTCTAGGAATTCAAGAAATTGACATTTTCTAAAGTTTTAAAAGAAGACTTAGGTAAAAAGTTAAGCCAAAGAGGCCGTCAGACTGTTCATTTTTTTCTTGAAGAGTAATTAGTGAAAACTCTCTCGTATATATAACTAGAAAAAATGGTGAGGAAAAAAATAAAATAAAGTTTTTGAAAACGCATCCAGTAGATCCTGAGAACCCTATGGTCAAAAACATTGTTTTGAGAAAAACCTGTATAAAGTTTTGGATACGCATCAGGGTGCCGGACTGCAATACTCAATGTAATACAAAACGTCCTGTGACTGATGAAACAATGTTCAGATTAAAAATAAAAAAAAAAAAAAAAAAAAAAAAAAACTTGGCCCTGAGTTACAACTGAATAATTATATGTAAAAAATCAAACAAAGAAATGAAAAAATATTTCTACCAAAAATGGTTAATAACTTTTCTTAAACATTAATTCCACCGACAAAAATTTGAAGGAAATAATCGCATGAATAATAATAATAATAATAATAATAATAACCGATAGATTAACCTGCATTTTAAACTTCAACTTTTAATTTCTACCCCAATTTTAAAGTTTTAACTCCAATTTTAAAGTTTTAACCCCAATTTTAAGTTTTTTACTCCAATTTTAAAGTTTTAGTCCCAATTTTAAATTTTGTACTTAAATTTTAAAGTTTTAATCCCAATTTTAAAGTTTTAATCCCAATTTTAAATTTTTATTTCAATTTTAAATTCAAGGACTCTCCTTTGCATTGAATTGCCGGGGGAGGACTAAATATCTGCCGGCCTCGAGCTGTGAATTGAGATACGAGAACATAATAATAATAATTGATGATAAAACTCAAAAAGAATCAAATCCAAGTTTGATCGCTCTAAAATGTTACATTATGCAAAGATTCTCTTTACTGATACTGTGAAAATTAATCCTGAAATGATGAGAGCATACTCACTTTCAGTTTGAGCGGAAGCAGCTAAACAATATTTGAGCTAAAATTGTCGCTTTCGGACGAGACCGCATGTTACGGGTCAAAGGTACAAAAATGGCATCTGCTATGAATTCCTGGTTAAGGCATCTTGATACGCTTAAACCAGTGTCCTCTCTTTCGGACATGTCAATTTATTGAGTAGAACTCGCAACCGGATATTCGAACTAGGTTAATGTTAAACCTAGGGTTTTCGTTTTTTCCGTTGCCATTCCAACTATCTTTACGCCCAGATTCTTCTTCGCCTCATCCCAAACAATTTTCGGGTGCCTTGAGAATTTATCAGTTAATAATTTCAGGCAGCCTTAATTGAATGAATCAGTGAGAACGAAAACAGACAAACTCGGGATTTTTTCGATTTTCACTTTTTTACGGTTTTGTATTGCTTAAAGACGGGCGCATCTCCATGGAAGAAGGAAATTTTGAAATTACTGTCAGAAAGTGCTCGAAACAGGGCGAAAAGGGGCGGTGAGAATGAAAACACACCAACTCGATGGGCGCTCTCAAGATCATGNGGGGGGGGGGGGGGGGGGATTCGGAGGATTTCATTTTTCCATTGTATGAACTTCCTACAACCAAATTCTACAAAAACTTGAGAGATACAGGCCGAGAAATAAAAATATTTCAAAGTAAAACACGAAAATTCAGTGTTAGAAAGTCGGTGAGAATGAAAACACACCAACTCGGCAACTTTAAAATGGTCAACTTTTTGTCATTAAAGATGGCTTATGTATTCAAACTTGAGCCTCTAGAGTGTCATCAAGTACGCGTCCTTTGGTACGAAAAATCTCTTTTTTTCTTTTTTTTCTTTTTTTTTGCTAATCTCTTCACCAACTATACAGTTTTTTGTGTCTCCTGATGAACATTTACATTTTCCCGAATTGGTGTGTTTTCGTTCTCACTGATTCAGTTGTGAATTACCACTGAAATAAATTTTTTGGAGAAAATAGATACAGCAGATTTTACGGGATTTTTTGGGCTGAACTGTATTGCAGCCCAGTTGAAGCAAAATTACATCTGTGTCATTGAAAATATACGTTCAAAAACCGCATATTGACACACAAAAATTTAAATCTAACGCTCTGATTGAGACAAAGGGAGTATTAATCGTTGTTCCAACCCGACGCTAATAATTTTAGTATGTTTAGAGTTTGGTTTTTACATTATTCACATGGTCCCCTATGTTCGGTGGCATACGCGGTGGTATCCTTGTTGTTGGATCACTCGGTATTTAATGCACGTTTCCCGTGCTGCCGTGCTTAGGAATAAAAATGGTGTATGAACATTTGATAGCTCCCAAAATTCCTCCAACGAAGAGTTTATTTTTATGCAGAGTTATGAATATTTTCTCTTGCAATTTTCAGATAAATTGGATCTGATTACAAATAAATTTCTCTGAAAATTGGAGAAAGAATATTTACAGATTTCGATGAAAATTCGTATTGTATGAGAAGATGTTTGACAGCGCCT